GAAACCTCTCTAGGAGACTGTGTTGTGCCACTCTGATTAAGAACAACTGAATTCATTCACGCCGATGAGCCCTGACATCTAACTGCTCGGGCACGTCCCATTTGGCTGGGGCCCCAGCAAAGGGGTCAAAAGGCTGATGGGTCAGGAMTGGCATAATCCAGCTGTCCCCAAGCAGGGCCCTGTCAACTATGAAGGGAAGCACTTTGTTCAAAGCAACAAAGCTCACGTCTCCAGGGCCAGGTGGACTGCAAACAATTGCTCTCCCAAGGGCGGAAGCTGGTGCCTGTTGCCAGCAACTTCAGCTTGGAAGGTTGACAGAACGAGTCGTGAACACTGTGATGAGATGCATAGAAGCAGCAGTGGGACCAGCAGAGCGTGGAGTGAGCGAGTGGGTGCTTAGGAAGGCTGGTTGCCCTATGCAAGGATCTCTAAAGAAAATGGAGCTGCAGGTGTCCCTCTTCTTGGAGCCTGGACTGGGAGAGCCTGGTGTCCTCAAAGCAAAATGGCCCCCACTCTAGACCAGGGCTGAGCCCAGCAGGAACTTCCACACGGGGGTCCCACTCCACCCTCAGCCTCATTTTCTGCTCTTCAACAGACACCACTGAAAATGCCTTGACTTCAAATTACGTAACCAGCAGCACCAGAAGACGTGGGGGGAGGTGGTGATCTGGTCATAGCACCACACCATACACATCACTTAAGTGTTTTTTTAAAAAATTAGACTATTAAAAAGAGTATTGGTGGATGTCTAGTCCTGGTTGGGAAAACACCAAGTTTTTAAAAAAAGCAAAAGAAACTACAAAGGAATGACTGAGATTCCAAAGTAAAAATGTTTGGAGATCGAGGTCATCAAAAGCCATTGTAAATCAAAGGAAAACAGCATGCTAAGAAACTATTTGCAACACATTTCACCTCCAAATTAGTTTGAAATACAAATCGAAAGCCATCTGCCTGTTTACTCATTCTTCAACATTTAGTTTAGTGGAGGGTGGGAGATCCAGCCCAAGGCCACCCAGGTGAATCTCAGAGCTTGCCCCAAAGGTCCTGGATCCATTGCAGCTTCCCACAACCCAGTGGCTCTGTACTTTAAAGTATGTACACATCATCTTTTACAGGGGTCTTCAAATTTTCTTGGAAGATAATCTTAAAGACTGGGCCAGATTTGGGGACAAAGACTATCAAGATCACTGCAATGTCCCCTGCACCCAAAGTCTAATGTGAACTTAAACATGGCCTAGAACTCAGGGAACGTGGCCTCAACTTCATCAAATACTACGTTCCCTATCATGCTGTTTCCAGATCCCAGATCCAGGATTCATTTATGGACATGCCAAATGAGGGTGCCTGTTCTCCTCACAGCTAGTGTTGGCAAAGTGGAAGGGATGGATGGAGAGACTGATTTGGGAGTCAGAGCTATTTCTGGGATGCTTCAGTGGGTGCTTAGACGGAGCCCACAAGTGCTCATCCAGCCCTTAACTTGGTCTAATCTGCAGAGATGAAGACCAAGGCTCCAGGGTGAAAAAAAGGTCTCTGAATTTTTGGCAACTAATAAGAGGCAAAGAAATCACTGAAGGTAATCAAGTATTTCTGTTTGGAAATGACTAGAAGCAGGTGGGGAATGGTGGGAAATGAGAGGAACTAAAATGAAGCATGGCTTCCTACAGTGCTGTGGGGCCTGTTATGTGACACAGTGCTGGCCTGAGACCCACTGTGTGAAAAAGGAGGAGAAGGGGTATGGAACAAAGGGACTAATAYTGACAGGCCACCGTCCCAAGCGCCAATGACAGACAGACAGCACCATGCATCTGTCAAACCCAAAGAACTGCACAACACAGAACATGAACCCTAAGGCAGGCCATGTTCCCTAGCTCCTAATAATGTACCCACTTCAGTCTATCAGTCCCAACACACAGACGACACTGGCACAAGATGTGAATAAGCAAGGAGACTATGTAGGACCAGGCGGCATATACAGGAACCCTACACAGGAACTTACAGTCAACCTAAAACTACTCTAAAAATGAAGTCTAAAAACTAGAAATGGAACCACCATTTGACCCAATTATCTGACTCCTGGGCATATACTCAAAGAACTTAAAATCAGCATACTACAGTGACGTTCCCACATCAATGTTTGTAGCAGCTCAATTCACAATAGCTAAACTATAGAACCGAACTAGATGCCCTTCAACAGATGGATAAAGAAAATGTGGTATATAAATACAATGGAATATTACTCAGCCATAAAGAGAAGAAATCATGGCATTTGCCAGTAAATAGATGGAATTGGAAACTATCTTGCTTAGTGAAATAAACCAATCCCCCCCAAAAACAAAGATTGAATGCTCTGATATGTGGATGCTAACTCACAATAAGGGGTGGTGGTAGGAGAGAATAGAAGTACTTTAGATTAGACAAAGGGGGGTGAAGGAAGAGAGGGGGGATGGGAATAGGAAAGACAATAGAATGAATCACTTCCCTATGTTTCATATATGAATATCTGATCAAAGTAATTCCACATCATGTACAACCAGAAGAATGAGAAATTGTACTTCATATATGTATGTCAAAATACACTCTACTGTCATGTATAACTAAAAAAAAAAAATGTTTTAAATGTCTTATTGAAGAAAAAAATAAAGTCTAAGCCAAACAGTGACACACATCTGTAATCCAAGCAACTTGAGAAGCTGAAGCATGAGCATTAACAAGTTTTAGGCCAGCCTCAGGATTTTGGAAGATTCTTAGCAACTTAAGCAAGACTGTGTGTTAATTAAAACAAAACAAAACAAAACAAAACTGAGGATGTAGCTCACTAATAGGGTGCTTGCTAGCTTACAGAAGGCCTTGCCTGGGTTCAATCCTCAGCCCTTCAAAAAAAAAAAAAAAAAAAAGTTCTCTTAGTTTAAAATTGACACATCTTACTCTCCCACAGTGTAGGCAGCACATAGTCTGCATTTGAATGTCATGTTTAAAGGAAGACAATGAAGTAGGTCAAGAGCTGAGAGGTCCCATGACCATGAATGTCAAAAGATTCTCCTTTCTTCCCCCCAAACCAAACAAGTTTGGTGCATCAGTGTATTTCAAACAGTTATTTTTATTGATCCGGCAAATGCAAAATATACAAATTTCTCAAAGGCATCCCCTGTTTAAAAGCTAGCACAGCTTCATTCCAGGTCATTAATTCAGACAAATATACAGAACACATGAGTCATAAGTCATACATAAGAGGCCCCCAAAACCGTTAACAATTAAACCCCATCTATACAGCTTTCTATTTTTTAGGCTCCCTTATACATATTAAATAAATAAATAGCACATCTGCTATCAAAATAATAAAAAAATAAATTTCAAGTATTACAAACGAAAATATCATTGGTGTGGTTCAAACAGTTTTTCTTCCCCAGAATGCTTTGCCCATGGTTAAAGGAAAGGGGGAAACTTACCCAAAAAAACAAATATGGCATAAAGTTTAAAAAATTGGTCCCAGTTTTGTTTTCTTTTTGGGGGGTTGGAGGTTGGGGTGGGGGTAAGACAGGAGAAGCAGAGGTTCCATGACTGCATGTCAGATGCACCCACCAACYGACACCCCTTCAAAAGTCAGGTTACTGGCTTTCAAATGAAGCAGAATTCTCCCTTCTCCAAGATCTCCTCTCCCTGACCTTATCCACATGCTCTCCCCATCTAGTCTCCCACCAAACTAAAGTCCTATGTGAGGCAAAATCCTCTTCATGTGATTCCGGGTCCCCAGGAGTGAGCGGGGAACACACCCTCAAGGAGTCCCTACCTGTATCAGCTCATACAGGATAGGGCCAGGGTGGCAGCTACGAGACCACCCTCAGGTGCAAAGCTACAGGGCTCTCAGGTTCAAAAATATGACCAGCCTAAATACTCATGCACATGCATGTGCCGCACACACAACCTGACGTGACTCAAAATACTGGGGAAAGGAAGGACCCCAAGTCTTACGCTGTAAGGACTGTACACCTAGATAGTCCTGCTCTCTGGAAGACTGCCAATTAAAAAAGGGTAGGGGGCGGGGCAGGAAGGAATTGAAGGGTAAGGTGTGAAAAATACGAACCTCAATCGTGCAGTATCTGAAGCGTGTCCCCGTGTCCCACTTAATCCCAGTGAGGGAAACATGCAGTCTCTAAAGGGCTCCTCTCAACGAACACAGCAGCTCTTCTCTCCATGCTCAGCTTTAGGTGTCTGGGTCTCCACCCTCACCCCAGGCCCGTCCCTTTAAAGGGCATGGTCCCAGGGTCCACAGCAGAAGGTGGGAAGAAAAGTGACCTTTGGCACCAGCTTTGAGACATCCTTAAAGGGTCATTTGGACAAACTGTACTGCTGAGTTTCCAGTTTCTTCTGTAAGATACCCTCTCCTACCCCATTTTTTGAGGCAACAAGGGAGGAGAAACTAACAGACAGAAACTATAGGTATCTAGAACCAATGTCCCATAAGCCCTGCAAGCAATACCTGCAAACATGCCACAGATGCCATCGACACAAGGCAAAGATGACATTCCACTCTTGAGATCCCCAAGGTACCCAGAGTGGTGCCAGGGACACAGCAGACACTTGACAGACAACCTCTTGGAGGAAGCAGCCTAAAATGGGCCTAGCTGGGACTTTTGACCCCAGTTAGGGACATGGGTGGTGACAAGCGCCCAGAAGGAGGGAGGCTGGCTCTTCTCCATGCCATCGCACAGAGTTGGCTTTGCAACAATGCAAATGCTCTGAGCTTCCCCATCTCATGGGTCTGCCCGACTCCTCACATCCAGAGGCTCCAAGCCCCTGAGGGGCCCCAGCCTCTAAGTCCTGAAGAGGTGTGACTTTCAGGTCACCTTAAAACGTGCAAAAGCAAGCAGCTCCGGGAGAGCAATGCACTCAGGCACCTCCAGGTCCATGTAGGGAACAAAGGGACCCCAAGGCCCTTGGGGAACGGGGGAGCCCTGCTCATCTGTTGTGTTTTCGCAAAACACCTCCTTTTGCCTACACAAGCCAGTCTGTCCTTGAACTCAGGGCTGAGGAGGCAGGTGGACATACAGGAAGTCCGAGCACGTCACTGCTCTGTTGACAGGCGAACATCAGCTCTGCAACTTCTCAGGAGAAGTCCCAACTCTGCATGCAGCCAAGTCTTTCTCCATGAGGCACCTTCCCAGGCCAAGATGCACCAAAGAGCCACGTGAGTCTCCACCTTCCGCAGCTAGGATCTGCCCTCCTTTAACTTCAGGATTCTCTCCTAGTCGAATCTCACCAGCTAAGCAAATGCCAGGCCAGAATCACAGAAACAAAACCAAATAGTGGGGTCCATTGGGGTCCCACCTCTCACCTCCTCCTCTTACACACTGTCCTCCTCAAGCCTGGTGGAAGAACTTGAGGCCAGACACCCTGGAAGGCCCTGGAGCATGGAGGGCGGGGAGGCCCGCAGCTCGTGGCCTGAGCAGGGATCCACATGGCKGTTGTCTCCTTGGCCATCCGGGAACCGTGGGATGCAGCTGCTCTCCAGCCAGCAGTCTCCCTTTCTCATCCACCCCCGCCTGGTCCAGAAGTCCTGGGGATTGTTTTGGCCTCAGGCAGACAGGTGGGCACAAGCTAAGCTGCAGAAGTGGAAATGGAACGGAACCGGATGTGTCTGCTTCAGTGTTCCCTGGAGGAGTCGGCGCCACTCCGGGAGCCTTTCATGTTCTGTTTTCAGGAGAAAGAGGGGGTGGGGGAGGGAATCAGGACTTGTGTCCAACTGCATTTCTCTAGCACAAGGCTCAAAGCCATGCCAATGAGATGTCTTCCCCTCCCTCTATCCCAACAAAGAACAAAACCCAAGAGAGGCATCATCACAAAACAGGTGGAAGAGTGCCCAGGTAGATCCAGAACATGACAGAGAATAACCCCAGCTCAGAGAGACGGGGCGGACACAGGCTGGTTTCCTGCCAGAAGGAGGTGGGGAAGGAAGATGGGACAGGCATGTGGCTCAGGACCCCGAAGCTCCAGTGGATCAAATAGGAACCCAGGGCTGTTCTCTGCACCCACACAGGGACTCCCTGCTGGCCACAGGCAGGCCAGGTTGAGCTGGGGGACCTGAAGCAGCACAGGTCCCGTTTCCTGACTCAGGTTTGGGCCCTGGTGTCTGGGATCTGGGCCCAGCACTCARGAGGAGTGCACAGGGGATTAATTGGGATGGCTGGACGTGGCAAGGAGCCAAGCAGAGGAGGCTCCAGCTCTGATCAAAGTGACCCTAGGAGGAAGTGCTATCCCTAAGGCACTGGCTCGTATCAAAACCTCCTTAAAAATATTCTTCAATCACTTAGGGACACATGATTGCTGCCACTGCAAAGCAGGAGTCTCTCCCTGAACTCCCTAATCTGCCCCTCAAGAAAAAAAAGAAACACAATTTTTATAGTATTCTCTCYGACTCTCAGTGTCTCCAACAACACTGAGAAGAGAATAGATCCCAGGCAGACACGTATGCAGGATCACCTCTCACACTCTCACCCCGAGCACCCCAGCTGGAGACAGCTTTAGAGAGGAGCCTCACAGGTCTGGACAGCGCCAGGTCCAAGTAGGACTTAGGAAYCCAGGCAGCCGACACCCTCCATGATAGGGTGGGTCTCTGGAAGTGGCCTAGACCTCACATCTAGAGAGCCATGGGATCTGAGAGTGAGGGGTCGTGGCTTGCTCTACCATGGACACTACAGGCCCCCGGCTTTCATGTATGAAGACAATGCAAGGACAACACGGAGTGCCACAAGGCRGGTCATGTGTATGTCATTCAGTCATGAGGCCCCTGGCTCAGGACACACACAGAGAGAGAAGACAGACCTCACAATGATAGCACTGCTCATAATACCCTTGGGTACTGACACATGAGCCACATACGCCACAATGGCCTTCTRCACACAGATCGAGATGCCCTACAGCTAAGATGCCATGACTTGGAGATGCAGGAGGGGACAGAGGGACATGCACCAGGCATTTACCTTTCCAAGGTTAGTAAGGAGAAAACTTTGAGAAAATGTGACAGACAGTTCGTCTTTCAAGCATAGTGGGGAAGAGAAAAAAAAAAAAAMA